CAAGACTTACATTCTCATACATAAGAATATATAATCTTGAATGAAGATAATGATACATGACACATGAAAAGTTGAATTAAAATATTTAAAAAAATATATATATATATTCATATATTTATATTTATATTATTTATATATCAAAAATAGTTATGTTACACAAGAATGATTCTTATGAATTGAGAGAAAAAACATTGCACAGAAAGGACGATATCTAAGAATTAAGAATTACATCAATTTGTAGATATCGTCCTTTCTACTTAATATTTTCCCTTTCAATTCATAAAAATTATTCTTGAACAATATATTAGAAATATGATACTTTAACAGGGCCTATATAGAAATCCTTCATGCAGAGCAAGTTGTGTTTTTATATACGAGGGGTGTTCAAAAAATAACGGGAATTTTTTAATTTCGCGGGTTTGGAGAGTCCGATCGTCAAAATTTTTTTTTTATTATGGTGGTATACATACTCCTGAAGTATGATAAAATTTTCAGCTGTATTCATTGTTTACTTTGTCTGTGGCAGCCGCTAAGGTTAGACGTGTTTTTACGAGCTCGGCGATTTTCGTTCGCGAATGGAAGTTGCCAGAATGCCTCCACTGGAACGATTGAGCCTTAGTTTCGACGTCATATCCGTAAACCCACGTTTCGTCACCTGTTATAACACGTTTCTGCATCGTCGTTGACTTCATTTAGTAACTCCTGAGCAACTAATTTTGCCTTATATAAAGAGAATACGTGTTTTTAATCGATATTAATTTATTTTCGTGCAGTATTTGAGACGAACGTTCGCTCAATAACACCGCCGCGTTTCATCAGCGACCTCCAGGCCGAACGTTTCATTCGCACTTCCGAATTTCCACAAATCACGGAGCGGTCTTTTCTCCTTTCGTAGACGCGAAATTTGCGTGAGATTACGTGAGCAATTTCTCACCGATTGCGACGAGCGTGCGTTGTCACGCGTTGCGTCATATTTCGCGCACTCGCGAGTTGCACTTCGTCCTGTCTACGAGACCCGTGGCACGTATTCGAGAGTCCTGTATTGCGGCCGTCGCGTGAAACTTCGTCTTGGCACGTATTTAAACGGAGTGGCTTGTCTTGCGATCATTCTGCGAAAGCATCTCTTTAAAACGGAGCATCGACGGTCAAGCACGAAATGCTGTCGCGCCGAGGAGCGCATCCTCAAGAAATTTCCCCGTCCGCGACTACTTGCACCACCGTCGAGTTATCGAACAAATTATTGCCTAGCAGTGTTATCAGCGAGGATCGTGTCCCGATCGAGCTTGTTTTGAATGGCTATCTCGCGGAACATTTTGTAATTCCAAATATAATTCGGACTTGCGGAACAGAGACGTTATCGGGAATATCGTTTGAGGTAAGCTTACCATATTTTATTTTTTTTCTACACAGAAGACAGATTAAAGAGAACCGGATTAAGGAGAAGGAAGAGAAGGAAAGAAATCGATCAACTAGTCGCACACGATGAGTTTTATCATTCTGCGCTCGTTATCGTATCTTGTTGAGATTAATAATTAACCCCTCCACCGTTTTACCGAAATTCACATCGGCTTGTCGGTTGCTTCAAGAAACGTCCTAAAGATATCTAAAGAGGATATCCCTATATCCTAAGGATATCCATGGGACGTCTAAACGGATAAAGTGCGCCGGGTGTAATGGATGCATGTCACTACACGTGTAATCTTATTTTGCTTTTCGAATCGATCATCAGTGAAGTCTGAGTCAGAAAATCAGAATCGCTTTCAAATTACCATCAGCATCATCATTGAAACGATCTTTATCGCTTTTTTCGCTTAATCTTAACAAACGGAAATCGCTTAATCTTAACAAACGGAAATCCTATCTGATGGCACTCTGCTCATATAAAGAGCTTCGGACTCCTGGCGAGTCAAATTTCTTATCGACAAGTGGACAACAAGAAACAATAAGAGGTGTTCGGACACCGCTTATTCGCGTGTCGGCAACGTTGTCGTCGCACGCACAGCGTGTTTTTAACAATATACGCGAATTTCTCAGCCGCAATTACTTCGGAAAGCGTCCAAGGACACGTCATCATTCGTCATGCAACCTCCAAATTCCGAAGAGCAACTTTCTCGATGGGTAAGCCAAAGCGCGAAGCCGCCTCATCTCGTCCGTGATCGTCACTCCAGACACGCATGAACTTTTCACGCTTTGAACAGAAATAGAACGTCTTTTAGACGATCTTTACGACATCCTTTGGATCAGTTTAAAAGACGTCTAAAAATCAGAATGCCTTTTAAATGTTTTTAGTCATCTTTGGTAGTTTAAGAGATGTTTTAAAAGATAGGACGTGATTTAGACATTCTTTAAATGTTTAAAAGACATGTAAGAAATGTCTAAATGTCTTTAAGACTCCTATTTCCTCGCTTTTACAGCCATATCCTGATTAATAACGTCAGAAGCGAGAAAAACGTATGCCAAAAGTTCTTGCCGTAAAATTAACGAATCATGAGAGGAGTTAGATTAAAAAGGAAGGTTGTGTATCATGTTAATTTTACGGTTACTTACCGACTGCTGGAGCAAGAAGAAAATTTTCAGAATATTTTACAAATATATGCCCGATCGCAAGTGCATTTTTACGAATATATTCATTTATTTCAACGTAATTTCGCAAGAATTTTGGACATGCGTTTTTTCGCTTGTAACGTCTTCAAACAAGACGACCGCAGTGAGAGGCTAGCCCTGACAGCACAACGTAATCTACGAGTATTTTTATAAAGTACAAATATTTTCTTAATCCTAGAATATTCGATTAGAAGAAGAAAATAGTGTTTTTCTTACATTCTATAGAATATACGAATATTCGGAACGAATTTATTCGCAGAATACTCATAGAATATTTCTGTGCTATCAGACAGTAGCCTTGAAGCGAAATTTAAAGGATGTCTAAAAGGAACGAGACTTCTTTTCGACGTCCTTTAGAAATTTAAAAGACGTAGAAGTAGACGTTTGCGAAGAAAACAATACGTCTGATCTAGAAATTCGTATTGCCTGAACGAGCGTCCACGTCGTCTGCTCGTCGAAGCTCCGGACGCGCGCGCGCTCCACTGCTTTTTGAATCCTGCCGCGCGGCGCGCGAGCAATCGATATCTCGCGGCCCCGCGAGCTATCGACGTCGCGTGGCGCGCCCAATTCGAAATTCGGCGCACGCGATTGGTCGAGCGCGATTGGCAGTCCCGCCGGCAGCTGGGCGAAAGGTCACCTTCAGTCGGCCGAACGTCGCGACTGCGGCTGGGGACGTCGATCAGAGGATCGTCGGCGCTCATCGGGTGCGGAAGGATCATCCTCGTCGTCGTGCTCGTCACGTCGTGTCTCTCTCCCCTTGGTGAGTCGAATCAATCTCGGTCGATCGGTCGACGTGCGCCGATCCTCGCGTCCCCGAGCGCGCGCTCCACGGCGACCTGGACGGTGTGACCCCCCATCTCCCGACGACCTAGACGGCGTCTGGCAGCCGAGGGGACGCGTCCGAGTTGACTTACGTAGCGTTTAATCGATCGACGTTCGTCCAGCGATTTCCCCGTGGACGCGGCGCCAAGGTGCGCGTGAGTTAACCTGTCTTCCCGCTCTCAGCTGGAGGAGAGATGATCGTCGCTCGTCTTCGTAAGAGAGAAAGAGAGAGAAAGAGAGGGGGAAAGTGAGCGATCATTCGGTCTCAGGCGACGTCTCCCCGGGATGTGTCTTCACGTGACTTCGCGAGGTTCAATTCAACGAGTCGCGCGTTGATCCAGCCGCGTCGCCGGGCGGAGCGACACGCCGGGGACGATCAGAGGATAATCACACGGAATCCGCCCCGCGGCGATCGATCGCCCCTCGCTAGTCTCTAAGCGGTCGAGTGGGAATCACGCTCCCGATCCAATTATTATGCGCAGGGATTATGTGTGTCACGATGAGCGCGACGACGCGGTCGGAGAATGCGCGACCGAGCCGTCGCGGCGACTTCCGCCGAGTTCCCGAATTCGATGTCGAATCCCCGAGAGAGTCCGGTGAATTGCGAGCGCGGCCGGCTGCCTTCGTAAATTCGAACGTTGTCGTCGGGGGACAACGCGCCGGACGGAAAAAGCCCGCGACCACCAGCGATAACTCAGCAACAACACGTACGGCACACACACACACCGCGCGCGCGTTGTTTACGCTTCACGTTTTGACATGCGGCCAAATCTCGCGTCGCGCACGTGTTATTTAATTTTGCGAAGGACTGCGACGAGAGAGAAAGAGAGACGGAGAATCTCGCGCGTGTCGCAACGACTGATGCTTATGTGCTCCGATAATTTTTGCTCGTTTCGCGCGTCACATCAAGGCACTATCTTTCTCTCTCTCTTGCGCGCGCGCGCGAGATTTTGTTTCTCGATTCGCGAACGATTTCGAACTGAAGGGCCGCGTCTCGTGACGCGACACGCGTGCCGACGATGTGTTATTTCATTATTAACGCAGATTAGTAATTGACAGTTGCGAGGCAATGACGGATTCATTAACACCTCGCTCGCTCATTCAAGCACGCTGAATGACGATGGCGTTTGAGAGAAACACTTTGCCTTCGAATGTTTCATTGTTCTTTTTTCTCTCTCTCTCTCTCTTTCTCTCTCTCTTTGTAACGAAGTGAACTTGGAGCATTGCGTTGTGTGTCGCAAGTTGCTTGAGTTTTCTGGATTAAGGTTAAATTCACATTGGCCAGTGTAGCTGAATTGATCCTGACAGGTCGTGTGAGAAGATGTCTCAAGATCACAGATCTGCTCCGTGTAATTGCTTAGATGAAGATGACGTGGAAGATTGTGCAGAAAGCAGTAATGATGTTCCACATGAATGGTGTGAAAACGTCACCGTTGACTGTAGATCCTTACCAGAGTCCAGGCTGTATGAGTGTTACTCGGATAAGTCTCTCGTTGCCCAAGTCCTAAGGGACATTGACGCAGAGAGAATGAGCAGGATCAGTCTACAAAATCTCAAGCTTTCCCTGATATTTCCAGAGGCGAGCCTGCGATCTTTCTTCTCGCCGCCTCACCCTCGGTGCTTATTTGAAATGTATGCAAAGTAAATCCAGGAAATTTCGTTCAAGCAGATGTTTGAGAAGAGCAAGTTCGAATCAGGAGAACACTCGCCTACCGGCTCCTCGTTTAAGATAGAATTTGACGCGCTGGAGGAGGAATATGTCGCACGCCTGCACTTTCCACACGCTGTCACACAGACAGTTATGACACTGTTTTCTCATAAAAAGATTCTAGTAAAAACTGTTACATCCTCGTCTTACTAACTTGGTCGCTACTAATGAGATAAAAATATCCGCTAAAGTAAGAGATCGGTATTCATAGTCGGATCTTACATACAAAACCATCTTAAGTTTACCTTCAGATACTGTGTGGCTCATTTCATTGGCCAACATCTGAAGATAAACTTAAGATCTTAAATATAAGATCTGACTATGAATAACGGCTTAAACGAACATGAAACATACATAGAGGAAATTCTGAGCTCACAGAGATATTTATATCGGCTCTATAATTGTGTAAATTTTCCTTTTATAGAACTACAAGAGATACTGTAGAAAGATGGCTGAAGAACCGGTTCAAAGATTTATAAAACCTGGCAGCCACAAAGGCAAAGGTCTTGCTGTGTTCACCAGCGGAGGCGACTCTCAAGGTAAATTGACAACCAACAATTCGATCAGTTTTACATTGCATTACCATACGCGTCATTTGACGTAATCATGATATTAACTGTCGACACTCTTTGTTTCTCAGGAATGAATGCTGCCGTACGAGCGGTCGTTAGGATGGGCATCTATCTCGGATGCAAAGTGTTCTTCATCAGAGAGGGTTATCAAGGAATGGTTGACGGTGGGACGTACATAGAGGAAGCGACGTGGTCGTCCGTGTCTTGCATCATCCACAGAGTATGTATCACAGAATTGCGAAGATTGTGTCATCGTATTGATGAACGCTATCCTTGCAGGGTGGCACAGTGATCGGCTCTGCACGGTCACAGGATTTCAGGGAGCGTGTTGGTCGCCGGAAGGCTGCGAAAAACTTGGTGATCCGCGGAATAACCAATCTGGTGGTGATAGGCGGAGACGGCTCTCTCACTGGCGCCAATCTCTTCAAGGAAGAGTGGCCTGAACTACTGAAAGAGCTCGTCGATGGGGGTGAGTGAAAAAAAATCGATCGGAACAACCTGATTTCGATACTATATCGCTTGTGCAAACTAACGTTATTTAAGATAGTCGATTTGTAAATCTGTTTTCTTAGGAATCTTTTCGAATTTCAATAGCATTTTTTTTCCTTTTATAAAAACCCACTACTAGCGATCTATACATATGTGCGATTAGGAAAAGATTGACCGTACCGAAGTTGAAGTAATTGAAGTCAAAGTTAGGACTTATTTACATGTATCACAGGTACAAAGACAATTCAGTATCATGTGATAAAAAGGTTGATAAATGAATTTTCTTGGGAATCTTTTTAAATTCGAACAGCATGTCGAAACGTGATCTACGTGCATGTAAAGTTAGAAAAAAATTGACTACTTCACCAAAGCTGAGATAATTGAAGTCAAAATTAATACTATATGTATACATACATCATAGTTGACAATTTGTCGATTATTTTCATGTTATATTAGTCATCTTTCTAATGATGACGGACCGACTACCTTCACGTTCCATCACTTAGTCAACTTAGTCGCAATTACTTAGTTTACTTAGCTAATGTGTTTCACTTAGTTTGTTTAATTAATATTTCACTCAGTTCGTTTAGTTAACGTTTGACTTAGTTTACTTGGTTAACTCTTAACACTTGGCTTATTCAATTGCCGTTTCACACCTAGGCGACATCACCGCCGAGCAAAGCGAGAAGCACAAGCACTTGCACATCGTGGGAATGGTGGGTTCCATCGATAACGATTTCTGCGGCACAGACATGACGATCGGCACCGACTCGGCGTTGCATCGCATCATCGAAAGTATAGACGCTATCGTCAGCACGGCTTACTCTCACCAGAGAACATTTATAATGGAAGTAATGGGTCGGCATTGCGGGTAAGTGGATGGAGCCGTCGTCCTCGTGATTTCGTCGCTCACTCAAGAGAGAAAGTCACTTAAAATTTGTATCGTTGGATAATTGATTACACGCACCGAGAGAAACCAGTTTGGTTGGATCAGTCTGGACAACCAAACGCGGAAATGGAGAACCAAATTTGACTTTTACAGATATTCGGTTTCTTTTAACCAAAATGCGTTTGATTGTTCATTTTCAGATTGATCCAACCAAACTGGTTTCTATAGTGCGCTTAATAGAACTCATAGTTGTTGGGGCACGTGGGAAATCTCACGTACTTTATAGCGACCGACGAGATTAGTATCTAAATTCGTCGTTATAGCGTTGAGACGATATCAACTCTGTAGTGTCGAGTTACGAGTTACGATAATGTAGTACAGACGAGCGATTTTCGGCTAGGTATCTGGCTATCGTGGGCGCTCTAGCTGCGGAGGCCGACTATGTTTTCTTCCCGGAATGTCCGCCTCCCGTCGACTGGCCCGAAAAATTATGTAAAAAATTGGAGCAGGCACGTCCGATGGAGTTTCTCCTTTTCCAAATTTTCCAGATATTGCGTTGCGCTAATTCCTACTAACTTCACTTTAACACGACAAATTGGTTTTCTTCTCTCTTTTCGCCTTTGTGTCAGTTTTGTTCTTGGTTGCTGAATGTGTTCTGGATTAATAAGCGCATACGCTGCATCCCTCCGAGTGACGCGAGGAAGAACGTGTGTACGATGGATATACTCACGTATACATTTACACTTAAATTTTCTTTTACCACCTCGCGCGGCAATTCATAGATACATAGATACACGTGTACAGATGTCGACGGTACCGAAGATAATTAGACGACAGAGCCTTGCAGGTACCTGACTATAGCGTCGAGTTTGTCCTCCGAAGCCTGCTATTCCTTTATCCCCGAGTCTCCGACAAGCGGTGATTGGGTCGAGGAGCTTTGCGAAGCTGTGCGACAGGCACGTTTTTCTATCACCCTCCATCTATCACTTTCACCAGTCGCGTTTTATTTCAAATTATCATTATTGCATTATTGTATATTACGCGTTAATGTATATTCCGGATCAAATAGCAGTTTAGAAGTTATCTTGTAAACGCAATATGATATTCTTGAGATTATTAGTCACAGTCAGATTTACATTTTGCAAATTCTCTCACGCTCCTCGCCATTCACCCCGTTGCGCGTTCTCTCTTGCGAATACATTGGTTTCCTCGTATATATCTGTCGGTAGGCACAGTCCTTTTCAAATTCACACTTCGATCATGTAATCACGATGCAGGCATGGGAGCGGTTTAACTGTTAAAAATAGTGAGAAAAGTAAGTTTCATTTTTGAAAAAGTAAGAAATTAGTGAGTCAGCTTTGAAAAAAAAAGAATAAAAAATGAGTCTTTTTTAAATAATTTGTATATTAAAAATTAGCTTATTTATCTATCATACTATTCCTCTAAGAAATTAAAAAGACTGACTTTATAAGAAAAGTCAGTGAAGAGCAAAATTCGAATTTTGAAGAACAAAAAGTGTTATACGATATATTGAAGCTAAAATTTATTTTATATAAAAACTCAATTGTAGGTAAATATTTAAATACAATTAAGAAAAAACTTACAAAAAAATAGAAATTAAATTCTTTGTGATTTTTCGAAAACATTTAATGGAACAAAATAGAAAAAAAAATATTTGAATCCATATCTTGAATCAGTTCCTCATTTTATTAATATTGTGTCGTTGTCGGAGTTTTATTGTTACTTTTCATTTCCTTTAAATCCTTTATTTTGTCTTTAAAGAAGCTCAATTGAATATGATTTCTTGTGGTCGAGTCTTTTTTTTACAAGGCTCAAGTAAGGCAAGAAAAAATTGAGAGAAATGAGTTTTTATCTTACAAATGAGAATAAGTAAGATATTTCTAAACAAGTGAAGAAAAGTGAATTGCTCCCATGCCTGATCGACGACGTAACGACATAATTCCACACGATATTCTCGCTACAACACCGCATCGAAGTAGATTTAGTTAGGTTTTACGATATACAATTGCAGTTATCTGGCTCTGGTGGCAGCTATGTGTTGCGAGGCTGATTTTGTTTTCATCCCAGAATGGCCACCCGAGCAAGATTGGCCCAACAAGCTGTGCAAAAAGTTGCTGCAGGTTCGATGAATATCTTTTTTTTTTCAATTTTTTGAAACAAGTATATATATCTTTATATTTTTTTTTGCGCGCGAATCGTCCAACCTGCAACGCGAATACCGCATTGCGTTCTGCAGTTCACGCTTCGTTCCATTAAACGGTTGCAGGCTGTTTCAATCGTCTTTAGTCACTTACGTCTGATTTGATTATTTCTTTTCAATAATATTTACTGTGTCCGCTTCGTGAACATTTTTCTCACGCAATTTAGGAAAAGAATAACATCATTTCATAAAGTCGGTACAGAAAAAGTTAATGCATGCTATGATGAACTTCCACTTGTTTTTCTATAATGCTATGTGTTATGTGAAGCATTATATCATAATATTTTTTACGAAAACGTATAAAACACTATTAATATAGATAGAAGTGTTAGAGTGAACGTTTCTGAAACTGTTACATATTACTTTGTATCATTATTGTTCGTATGACTGTTATACCGCGCGGTATTGTGGTATAGCCTTTGAGCTGTCATTTTTCTACTACATTTCTGCGCGATCTGTTCTTAATCTCTATTGAAACAAAGTCTCGGCGTGCGGAAAAATTTCCGCTGAATCCAAAACTTGCCTTCCAGGAGCGGCTTACCGGGCAACGACTCAACATCATTATCGTGGCTGAAGGAGCTGTTGACAGGAATGGCGATCCGATTACCGCCGAGAAGGTGCACAAAGTAGTCGTGGAGAAGCTGCAGCAAGATACCAGGATCACTGTCCTGGGTCACGTACAAAGAGGTGGTAATCCCTCAGCCTTCGATCGAGTTTTGGTAAGATTTTGTAATCTATAATATTGCTGAAAATCAAATATGAAAAATATATTCTCTGTTATTTCCTTTGAAAATCGCAGTGTGTATATTCACAATATTTATATTGTCATTTGTTTATTTACTTTTTACGTATGTATCGAGGTACATTTATATTTTATCTATGTTATTTATATTATATTGCATTTATACCGGTATTGTGTATGTATTTATATTTATGCGCGTATCATTTGTTAACACTTTTATCTGATTAACAACGGGATTTCAGGGATGCCGAATGGGAGCTGAAGCTGTGATGGCTCTGATGGAGGCGACACCCGAGACCGAGGCGTGCGTTGTCACACTGGACGGTAATCAAGCTGTGAGATTACCACTTATGGAATGCGTGCGCCGTACGAAGGCCGTAGCGCAGGCTATGGCCGACAAAAATTGGGATCTTGCGGTTCAGCTGCGAGGAAAGTGAGTGACTCGAAGAAATTGTATTGTATGGAAATGTTTGGACGTCAAACATTAATGCATTTGAACGTCTATCTTTATGCTTACCAGAGGCTTCGAACGTAATCTGGAGACTTACAAGATGCTGACGCGCCTTAAAGCTCCGGTGGAAAGTTCCGATCCAACCAAGGTACGATCGTTCTCCGTTCGCGTTCTCCAAGCTCGTTTGGATGACCCAAAAGCTCAGTGTTATTGTGCAATAATATCTCGACCGGTAGAATACTTAAAAGCGCGTGACCTTAGCGGAATTTTGGGTCTCTGACAAGATGGTCAGACTAAAATAGCAACGAATAATACATAGATTATTACATGTGCTGTTTAATACTGCTTCAGGAAGTTAATGGGCGTGCATTACCGAAGGTAAATCAGTCAAAGAACCTCTACCATCAGACGTTCTTTTCATTTTATTAATAATACCGTATGCGTAAATGCTTTGTGAAACGTCGAGGAACGAAGCCGCCCTAATCACAGCACCTTTTCTTTTTTCCCATAGCAATACACTTTGTGCGGACAAGTGAGTTGACCCTTTGGAATAGAGAATGCGTGCCTTTCATACGCGTCAGACACACATTCATATCATTTCTCGTTCGTGTTCATTGCCAGGCAGACGGAAGCATTGTGCAATATTTAACGTGCGACGTGTCATACACACAAGCGGTCGCTCAATTTCCTGTTGCACGTTGCATGACCGCGCCGGTATCCGTCTTTACGTCTCGTCGTTAACCCCTTGCCTTTTCCTTGCAGGATCATTACACGCTGGCGGTTATGCACATAGGATCACCGTCCTGCGGCATGAACGCCGCAGTCCGCTCCTTCGTGAGGAATTGTATCTATCGAGGCGATAAGGTAGCAAACCGTTAACTTTTTTTTATCATTGTGAAATCAAATTCGCCAAATCCACTATTGATTACTCAATTGCTCTTTCTGTATCTGCCTCGATGTAGGTGTACGGTATCTGTGACGGAGTGATGGGCCTCATAGACGGCAGATTGAAGCTGATGGATTGGCCTTCGGTCACCGGCTGGGTTGCGCAAGGCGGCGCTTATCTGGGGACGAAACGCGCGCCACCCAAGGAAGACCAACTCCCGCAAATCGCTCAGAAACTCAAGGAATTCGGGATTCAAGCACTACTAATCATAGGTGGATTCGAGGTATATTCTATTTTTCAGACGTTGTGTGTTGAATCCAAGGACTGAATATCGAAATTATTTCGCCAAAAATATTATATATTGTACGTGGGCAATTTGAAAAATTCGCGGCCTATCATATAAAGGTCAGTATCGCGTTTCTATTTTTTATCGCATCACGTGGCACCACTTTCGTTCTATGAACAGCTGTGAAGTATCAAGTCAAGAATTTAAAACATAAGTTTTAAAAAATTGGCCAATCACAGTTGAAGTATGAGGAGAATAATTGACTAGTCAATTTTCGATGTCAAAAATACCGTTTTCATCGGTATCGGTTATATATCGGTTTCAATCCCTAGTAGAATCTACGGATCAAAATAGGGTCGATAAAGACTAAGGTCGTTTTTTTTTTCTTTTTGTAGGGTTATCAAACTGGCCTGACGTTCTTCAAAGCAAGGGACAAGTACAAGGAATTCCGTATTCCTATCGCCATGATCCCTGCGACTATCAGCAACAATGTGCCAGGAACGGAATTTTCTCTTGGTTGTGACACAGCTTTGAATGAGATTACAGAAGTAAGCAACGCGATAAGGTTTAGAAAAGTTCGCAGACTTCTGTCTATTAAGATTTTTCTTGTTTGCTTTGTGAGTTCTTTCAGTTGATTGCTGACGATGAAGTAAAATAGTATGAAATTTTTTTTTTTTTTTTTTACTAAAATCGACATTTTTCGAACTATTAAGTGATTCGGCATTTTTCGTATATTCTCGTATAACGATAATTGTAATCTCAGATTTGTGACCGTATTCGACAATCGGCGCAAGGTACTAAGCGTCGTGTATTCATCATCGAAACGATGGGTGGCTTTTGCGGATATTTAGCGACAGTCGCTGGTCTGGCTGGAGGTGCTGATGCGGCATATATCTTCGAGGAAAAGTTTAATATCAAAGGTGCTTCTGCTTTCCTATGTGTAACGAACTCTTCTGTTCATTTAAATAATATATTTGGCAGTGGAAGGCTCAGATGTGTTCATCGTTTGATCTTACAACGTTCACATTACAGACCTGAATCAAGATGTCATTGCGATGGCGGCGAAGATGTCGGAAGGCGTTCAGCGGGGTCTCATACTTAGGAACGAGAACGCCAATCAAAATTATAATACCGATTTTATGCAGAGACTTTTCAGTGAGGAGGGGAAGGGTTTATTTAGCTGCAGGATGAACATAATTGGTATAAATCTCTTATATCGTATTACTGCTGTCAAAAAAAAAAAAACAAAAGATAAACCAAATAATCGCTATAATTAGGTGCCGAGACAGATATCTACCTGATATTTAAAATCTCAGGCAATACCCGGGTATCGGTCGTTAATTCTCATAGTAACTGATTTCACCAATAATTAGGTCATGTTTAAATCTTTTTTAAGTTTCAGAAATTAAAAAAAAAACTCATTTTGTGCCACTACTACTTTAAACGAATATATCTGATCGCTTTGCTAAATATTTTTTAATATTTCAGGTCACATGCAACAAGGTGGCTCGCCGACGCCCTTCGATCGCAATTTGGGAACAAAGATGGGCGCTAAGGCCGTGGAATGGTTCAGCGACCAATTGCGAAAGTGCACCACTCCCGATGGCAAGACAGTCACCATCGAAGCGGACAGCGCTGTGATGCTCGGTATCGTAAGACGACAATACAGATATACACCGTTCATGGAACTCCGCGAAGTTACCGACTTTGAGTGCGTATTCTCTCCGGTTCGAATTGATACCTCAAATATTTCCGGCACCCGGCGTAATTCCCGGCGCTCAACGTGATTTCAGCCATCGCATTCCGACATATCAATGGTGGATGAAGCTGCGTCCGTTGCTGAAGGTGTTGGCGAAACACGAATCGACATACGAAGAGGAGGGCCTGTATATAACAGTCGAGGAGATGGATCTTCAGAACGACCCACCTCTCGTATAAGAGTCGCAAAAATGAATAATCACCTAAATTCGTGGCAAGTAGCTAAACAAATAGATAGCGTTACGCGAAAGGAGTGTCGCTGATCGTGCGGAGAGTAGGTTCCGTTCGAAGGATACCGCGGGTATCGACGTTACGACAATTCTGCCGCTGCTCGACGAGGCGAAGAGAAACGAGTCGTTGTGTGTGCATATTATTATCAAATCGCGCGCGTCCGGAAAAAATCCTTTGTTCATATCTCATATCATATCGGTTCTCACGATAATAGTAGACATGTGTGCATACATATTTTCATTTTCATTATTCGTTTTTCAACGCAGTAAATTCGAGATGCAAGTTACACGAACAGATGCGATGTGGAATCCTGTGTCGTATATTCCTCGGTCTTGTGTATGAGCAATGATGCAATATTGGCCAGGATTTTCGCGCAGGCGCGACGATCGCGGCATCATGAAAATATTTAAGCCAGTATTATAGTTACATCTAAATCATATATATATATATATATATATATATATATGTATATGATGAAATGAATGATTCGACCAAGAGTAACGTTCATATGTTCACCTTGAATTACGAAATTTTCCATCATTTCGTGGCGCATGCACAAAAATCCTGGCCGATATCGTATCATTGATCTTGAGAGAATCACGCGTATCTCTCGAACGTAAACTCGAGTTTTTCAACTCAGGTGAGAAATGGGTACCTGAAGCGCAAGAGATGTAAGGTATACTTGAGTCGCGCAGACTCGATTCGCTACGTGCCAATAGAAGAAGCGAGGTCTCCTTGTTCGCACAGCGACGAGACGGAGCGGCGTTGTTGCAGTATATCTCCTAGTGACGTTATTAAAATCGCATCGCGTACAATTGATGTATAGTATCGAGATTACACTAGACTTCGATAAGTGTAAAAAAAATTTTCTAGCGTATAGTAAGGTAAACACACGGAGTCCAGGCGCAAAATTATACCGGAGAATCGGAGAGCCGTTTTCGTCAAACACGCAAAGAGAGAGAAGAGGAACGCGTGAGAAAAATCAGAAAACCATCCGGCGATACGCAAGAGACTTATATTTGATACGCTACTCGAACCCCCGGTGCACACCTTCAATTTTGCTATGCATCCGGGTGACCCGGCGAATTATCGTGCGATATTTTAACCAGCGCGTCTCGCGCGTTTTAGTTGAGACACTTGAAAATTGAGACTCTTTTTAACGTACGAAACTGCGGTAGTCTCCTGTGTTTTAAGACATCGACGTTGACCACTCTGATGGTAATATTTTGCTGATAGTATTAGGAAATCGATGAAAAGTAAAATGAAAGTTATTGAAAAATTACTGAATATATTTCAAAATGAATCATAATTTTCTTTATGGAAAATTAAATGTAATACTATAAAATATAAAGAAAGTTAAATTATACTGTTGAAAAGTAATATAGTAAATTTTTTTTAATACTATATGTGAAATTTACTTAATTCAACTAAAGATTGAATTTCTACTGAAATATTGGTGAAATAATAATGAAATAGGATCAATCGAAAGAAAGAGAATTTCAAATACATTTCAGTAAAATTTCATTATATTTTCAGTAAAATATTTCCATCATGAGCAGCGAAGCTGCCGCGATATTTTTATTTTTTATTTAATTTAATTAAGCCTTTTATTTAATTAAGCCCCAGAACACGCTGTTAAAATATCGCACCGTGATGGATATAGTTGCCAAGAACGAGAAACAACAATTCACATACCGCTTGTTAGCGTCTTCAGTGAATAGTAGAATCGTTATTCGTGCAATTTCGGCGCTTTTTCGAGGCATTGTGAGTTCAAGATTAGATACGGCTCGACTAGAAATCCTCGTTTCGATATATTTCGTTCAATTTTTGCGTTATATGTTAGGTTAACATAACACCCGGTGAAACGTTTGTGACAAGTATAATCTTCAGTTGCGACACACGCGGATCGAGAAGTGAATCAGATCGTGAAATTTATAATCGGGAGTTTTACAGATTAAACTTTGTGAACTATATTTGTGGTCTACTAAGGTGTAGGATTAAAAATTAATGTGGCATTTGTGCGTCGGTGAAAATGTTTATCCTTCGGTTTAGCGTTTACTCGAAGCTATAAAAGGCTATTGGAGAATATACCTGTCTACCTCAAAACATAATTTTGCAACGGTGAACGTACGACTCACGCAGTAGAGAAGTGAAGAGAAAGAGAGAGAGAGAGAGAGAGAGAGAGAGAGAGAGAGAGAGAGAGAGAGAGAGAGAGAGATGAAAAGAAAGGAAGAAGAAGAAAAAGGGAAAGAAAAGAAGAGAGAGAGGTCGACCCGTGAGTCGCGCTCTGGTTGCACGTAACGTTAAAGAATTTCGCTAAAATTTAAGGCTTGTGGCCACAAACGAGTAATTAGATTTAATTCTTTTTCTCTTACTATACTCGTATATTTATCTTTCGACGAAGTCGTGCAAGCTATCGAATAATCTCTCGTAATTGTTTTCTCGTATATAAAGTAGCGTTTTCCTCTCGCGCCCTCGCGAGATTCTATAGAAGCCAGACAGTTGCATTCTGGTGGTCACCACTGACAAAATTATAATTATGTCTCGCGCGCCATATAACTCGCTCGCTCGCTCGCTCGTTCACGTTCGCTTGTATGCGTAAATGAATAACATTACCGAGCGTGATTAACGGGAGTAGACGTAAGACGTAAGAGAGACGGGAAGAAAGAGAGAGAGAGAGAGAGAGAGAGAGAGAGAGAGAGAGAGAGAGAGAGAGAGAGAGAGATGAAAAGAAAGGAAGAAGAAGAAAAAGGGAAAGAAAAGAAGAGAGAGAGGTCGACCCGTGAGTCGCGCTCTGGTTGCACGTAACGTTAAAGAATTTCGCTAAAATTTAAGGCTTGTGGCCACAAACGAGTAATTAGATTTAATTCTTTTTCTCTTACTATACTCGTATATTTATCTTTCGACGAAGTCGTGCAAGCTATCGAATAATCTCTCGTAATTGTTTTCTCGTATATAAAGTAGCGTTTTCCTCTCGCGCCCTCGCGAGATTCTATAGAAGCCAGACAGTTGCATTCTGGTGGTCACCACTGACAAAATTATAATTATGTCTCGCGCGCCATATAACTCGCTCGCTCGCTCGCTCGTTCACGTTCGCTTGTATGCGTAAATGAATAACATTACCGAGCGTGATTAACGGGAGTAGACGTAAGACGTAAGAGAGACGGGAAGAAAGAGAGAGAGAGAGAGAGAGAGAGAGAGAGAGACTTTGTGTGCTTGTGTATGTGTATATGTGTGTGTGTGCGCGTGCGCCCGTTGTAGCGTATACTTTTCATAATTTTCCTCTACGTAAGTAGTTCGCGCACTCGCCGACGCTCGCGCGAACAATCGCGCGGAGCACGCCACGATCTTACGTTTCGGACGCCGCCGCCGCGCTTAGCGCTCGCAACTCGCGCCGACTTACACCTAAGATTGGCTTAGTAGGTAACGATCGATGTGTACGTAAGAAAAAGAAGAATAAAAGAAAAAAAAAAGCAGAAAAGAAGCGAGGACAAGTAGAAAAGAGACTTCGAAAGTACAATAATTATATGCACGTGCGTTACGAGTTCGTTCGAACTTAGAGTATTGACGTAAAATCGTAAAATGTAATATACGTAAAAAAAAAGGTTATTACCCGACGGATCTTGCTTGTTTCACATCGTTATCGAAATACGTGTGTATGATCTACTCGATATAATGTTATATGACAGGTGAGGAGGTAATAACTCACATTGAAAAGAGCGAAAACCGAATAACGTAACGTTATTTAGTCGTTTAAGCGACATGTATAGAGATCTGCGTTTCCTGCGTTTTTTCCTCTTCACCAAGAGGCTGACAATGCGACCAAAGAGACCGTGTTTGAGCGAGAAGCCGAGACGTGAAGACAGAGGAGATATGAAGGCTCCCATCGGTTATCTGTGTGTGTAAAATCTCACTTCGCGATATTTTTTATTCGTTTAACGCGCTGGAACATGTTTTACCGTATCTCTCGTGTGACCTATTGTTATGGAACCGACTACGTTGCATAGAAATTGCATAACTCGTGTTAATATATTTACAGGGTGTCCAAAAATTCCCGCATGCAGAGTATATACAGGGAGATCCTTCGTACCAGAAGAAGTAACTGTTTCCTTATGTCGAAAAAAAGTCATTATTTATTAGTGACTTTTCTATTTTCAATACAATACATCAGTGAAGCCTTAAATTAAAATTCGGTTTGAAATAAAGTCTACTTGAAATTGACCGAAGGAGATAATTTTGTTGTATTTGTTCGCTCGAAACTTGGTTTGCGAGGAATCCCATTTTTTCCCTCACTTGTTTCTTGGATATTATTGTTTGAATGCAATTTTAGTACAGGAAAAGTTACTTCTTTTGGTATCTCAAAAATCTTCCTACGCACTTCGCATATTCGGAAATTTTTGGATATCTTGTATATACAGGGTGTTCCGCAAGAAAACAGATAAATTTCTAAGATGCGTTCTAGTGGTCATTCTAAGCAAAAACGTTCAGACACATTGTAAGTCAATTCTGCTTATTTATCGAAATATGGGCAATTTTATTGATATTGTAACAGGTGAAAAATATCAGACATTTATATATATATATATATAATTATTTTTAGAACACGCACTCTAGAAATTTGTTGGTTTCCTCGCGGAATATCCTGTACATTTGAACGATAATTCTATTCACGTGTCTCTTCGTCGAAATATCGATAACGTGCACAATTATAACATGTGTAATTATCGTGCGCTACTTTATCGCTACTGTGCTGTGCGAGGCTGTACACGCAAAAACGTACAAATGATACTCGCGTAATGTCGAACTGTTGGTTGTCCCGTCGCATTAGCGCATTAAGGGGATTACACATATATAGAAATGAGATATTATTTTTAAGATTGCAGAGATATATTTTCGAGTCATTGTTGATCAATGAATTTACATCCGAGACCCGAAAAAAGACATATATATATACATATATATATATATATAGTATTATATTTATCGTAATTTATTTTCTCTTTCGATATCGAATGTGATATCGGCAAACACTATCGCACTCTCGACGGCGCAGCGCGTGTTATATTATATATACATTCGGAATTTCGCGAGAAAAAAAGAGAAAGAGAGAGAGAGAGTTCAATTGTCTAAGTCGACGAATATCTAAATCCGACGGAACGAATACGTATTATCATATACATTGACGATGTTGTATCTATGTCGTGAAATAAACTATATCTTCTAAATGTGTGTTACGTCAGTCGAACTTGTCTCTTACAGAATGGAAATAGCACGAGTTCCGATTGACTTTCTGCTTTTCTGTTAGGTATGAATTCCCCCTCACGCGTAAAAATGTCAATGATGAAGCAGGAATCGTATAAGGGGCGGGGATAGCATACATAATCGAGAATCTAATTTCAAGGTAATTTTATTACGAAAAGAACGAAACTTATACAATTAATATCCAACTATTCGTTCTCAACACAGATGTAATACTACTATATGGCTGAGCAAGAACGGAAGTCTGAGCAAGACAGCAACACCGCGGCGCGCAGCAATGCTCGTCTGTTTTTATCACTGTTCAGTTTGTTGTAAAGCGCATGCGTGATATTTGTCCTTCCACCATGGTCCAAGCCAATACGAATTGATCTGACGCTATATCGAAAACTAACCACTTTGCACATTCACCACCTGTTCGTGTAATACGAGGATTTTCGTCGCGATAATAAGAATATTCACTTTCTCTTATTAATTATCAATTTCGGTTCCTTTAATAGATCTGTTTGCATTTGGTCGTTACACTTGCGTATTAACGATTATTCAATATTTCTCCCACTCTTCCCTACACAGCCAATAACCGTTCATCTTCTACCTTCAGTATTGGATTCAATCCCGCTTATAGGAAAACTGCTGCGTTAGCCGAATAGTAATATTACATATATGCTATAAAACGAAAAGTATATCAAGAAATAATTACCCGTCCACGGTACGTTCGCTCACGAGTCAGCCCACCGCCAAACAACTGCACGAGAACAAGCTTTCTCTCTCCCTTTCTGACGCGATCTCGTCGCCGGGAAATGGATCGCCCCGGATTGGGCGTCGGATATCGAATACTCGTGCTGCCCAATCAAGACGTTCCCGTGACTTGCGCGCGGGGACTTTCCTGCCGCGCCAACTGGTTCGCGGCATCGGTCGCTCCGACAGTTGGCGGCCTTGAATTCGAGACGGTGTCGTTTTGAAAGAGACGTGCGTTGCGATGTGACCGCTCCAATCGTTGTAAACGCATGAAGTGATTCCCGAGAGATACGCTATTACTGATTATCGAGTGCTGACGAGGAACGAGGCCGTGTTAAACCGGCGGACCCGGCCGGCAGCATGTTCCACACAAAGAAGGACGTCGATCGGCATGTGCAGCAGGTCTTCAGCAAACTGTGGAACCAGAACGAGGTGAGGTTACTTCGCACACCACGAGACATTCCCTAACGTACGTTTCGTCGAAGCCGCGTGCGCCACCGTGCTCAACCGGTGCTTCCAGTGTTTTTACGGGACAACCGTTACGGCGACGATACCGGTGACGAACGACGAGCCACCGTCGGTGTCCGGCATGTCGAACGGTGTAGTTCCTACCGCCCGATATGTTCGAGACCTTGAATTATCACGCTAGACGGGGTCTCACACATGAGCGTAACGTACGATGATGGCGAATTTTCGCGGGAAACCCTCCTTGAGATATCGACGTTCGCGCGACGTCTGACCCGACATAACTTTGCTCACCGTTGCTACCAAGCTGGAGATTTTTATTCCTTAAATATTTTTTTAATGTAAAGAAAAAATATCCTCTATGTCAACATTCTCTTGCAAAGATACAAAGATTAAGGAAAATATAATTTGTATAGCTAGCTTGGGTATGGATGTTTTTTTTAATTCTTTCTCATTCTTTCCTTTTTTTCTCTTTTATAGAAAAACCTTCGTTCCTACAATGTTGCCAAACTGTATTATCAAGTAGGTGATTATGAGTCTGCAAAGAGATACGTGTCTAGCTACTTAGAGGTACGAGATAATTCTGCTAGCGCACACAAGTTACTGGGTCAGGCATACGAGGCTCTAGGTCAAAAGGAAGCAGCTTTGAACGAGTATAAAACATCTCTTGAACTTGAAGCACGGCAGGATGATCTTGTTTTGAAAGGTAAGCAAGTGGCCTCTTCTATTTCTATTCATTTTATTACTTCTTAAATACATCTTTGACTGCCTGACTTTTCTTTTTCAGTGTGCGATTTACTGACTGACACAGATGTAGGAATGGATGCCAATAAAATCAAGTATTGGATAGAACGGGCCGACAAACATTTCCCGCATCATCCGGTGGTTTTTAAGTTGAAGGAAAAGTTATTGACTGTGGACAGGCCGAACGGCCACAATGAAGATCTCGAGGCGCTCATCATATGTAAGTAAATACAGTTATTCGAATCTCGCTAATAATGCGTGGGAAGATTGAGGATTAATATGTGAAATTATATTATTCCAGCGGAATTGAATGCAAGACCGAATGATGTCCAGCTCCGTGTCAAATTGCTGAAGCATTACATGTCAAAGCACAGATATGAAAACGCTTACGAACACGCCGCCAGTGTGGAAGCCACTCATAGCTACAGGAACAGCATCGTGTGGTATCAAACGCTATGCGAGTTACTGACAAAGTGTAAAGAAAGCATATATTCCGATTGGTCTTTCTGGGTACTCCTCATTTCTTCCTTGGAAAGATACGCAGCACTGTCTCTGAAGGAGCAGGGCAACGAAATCAAGAAGAACGTTCCAGAAGCAACTCAAGCAGTATTTAAGTGCGTATCGTGAATCTCGCATGTCTCTAAGTTATCAAGTTCGGAAATTGTTACGATAATAATAACGTGATCGATGTTCTGTAAAATGTGGTATCAATGAAATATACCTCGTGAATCTTGAGAATTAAATATATCGTGATTTTTTCCAATATACGTAACGATTACATCTGTGTGAAATTTTGACAAGTCAAGATTCATGTTTCAGCTTTGACCAGAACCTGTACGAGTTGAAGGTAAAGAATTTCTCCAAGCATCATGTCTTCGCAGAGCACATGCTCACACATATGTGGGGTCAATTGCACTTGCATTTGGCATGCTTGTTGCTACGCAAAACGAAACGGGAACAGGGCAGCTGGAGTGAAGCGGGCAGACTGTGCGCACCTCTGTTGTTAACCGCGCTACAAGTGACTCCTATAGACCCCACTGCTACGTGGACTGTGCACATAAAGGATCCATCTAAGAACCTAATCAATTTATGGCACACAGAGGGCTCGTATCGATGCAGTCAAGCCGGTATGTGAAATATTATGAAATATTGCGAAATATTGTGAAATATGAAATGTACGCGCCACGTCACCGAATGCTCGTGCAATAAGTCGATGCGTCACCACTGCTAATATTAATTTTGTCCATAGGCCACGTTCTTCAAGATTACGCTAAAGATAATACAAAAAAACTAATGGACAAGATCGATAAATTTTGCACTGGGAAGTGGAGAGAACGTGTTTACCAGGTGAGTGACTGATTAAATTATCACGTACATATATGTGATAACATGTTAAATAATTTTATCGTTTCTTTCAGAGAATTTTTGTAAGCAGGATACACCTCGATCACATACGGAAATCATATTTTTGCTATCATTCAGTACCTCACTCGCCTTTGCGCCTCTGCTCGCAAAATGAGCTAAAACATTACGACGAAGGTACCTTATAATCTTATTTTTTATATTTTCTTATAATTAGGGTTGGGCATTTACGCATTTATAATAGTCTATGTCTATACGTAGATAATGTAAATTATGTACGTCGTCTTTGTAGACGATAAGTAATCTATGAACAGTTATGGAATCGCTCGTCTTCTTACAGTTCATAAATCTTATTTTTATATTTTGTTTTTGTTAAATATTCATAAGTAAATTTTAGTAACATTCGTTATATCAACAGCATGTATACCTTTTATATCGCTATACAGATATCTTAAAAACGTATAAAGTGAATTTTATACATAACTTTACCCGATCTAACTTACTAAAACTCGATGAAATTATTTGGTTCAAACGTAACGACGCCACTTTGGTATTTTACGATGCCATGATAAATTAAAAATGAATTGAGCGAGCTTAATTTCACACTGATAAAAAAGAAGAGTAAGTGTTATACCTATTGCAATCACAAACTAATGAAACACTGCTTTTTCCCATTCAAAAGCCCACGGCTGAATTTAAACGATCAGGTTTCTGTGTTACTTGCATGTATCGACTTTCCAAGTTTTAATATGAAATATCTTCATAATCAACATCAAAATCGGATACGCGAACTATTTTATAATTTACACTGATAACTTATTCTTTACTTTTGCACTGTGCTTTGTAATTTATAATATTTGACATGGCTTGCATTATCCGCATGAAAAAAGTGTAAATTTCACGCAAGCAACACGCGAATTATCCGTGTAGACGTAATCCTCGCGATCCACACGGCACAAGCCTGGATATGACAATCAGGTGCGACGTTTTACGTTCATATTTACAGTTGCCGAACGAGTGTGGCCGGCTTCGTTGCATCATCAAGTCTGGCTCGGCATACAGAGTCGTTCGCACCACTCGCCGAGCAAGGACGGCAGCCCGCAGCCGCACCGGCACTCCCACGTGTTCTCGGACCTGCAGTTCTCGGCGTACAACGTGAGTCAGGCCGCGCCGGACAGCCTGTGCCAGCTCGACGTCGACGCGTTCCTCAACGCGGCGATACTCTGTTCGTCGGCGATCGTGGAGGAGCAGCAGCTGAGCAGTTTCCTCAGTCCCGACCGGTTGCCGACTTTGCCGGCCGACCTGACGTCGACTTTCTGCACGTGTAACCAGGAGAAGTGGTGGTCCGCCGCTTACAGGATGTACTCCAAGCAGAAAGACATCGAGGGCGACATCGGGCAGCTGAGACACGAGTTGCAGCAGGGTCTCGAGGTCGTCCGCTGCATCGGCAATCACGGCCTGCATCCGGTGCTGCTGGTCCACCTGGCGCGCATATTCCAGTACCGCACGAAGGTGCTGAAGGAGAAGGACAAGGAGCACGGCGATATCTCGGCGTTGGAGGCGCGCGCCGAGCTCTACTGGAGCACCGCTGTGCCCCTGCTCGAGCGTCTGCAGAACAACCAGACGATACGCATGTCGGCGTCGAGGCTGTTCAACTACCAGGGCAAGGATATGAACAACATCGAGCTGACCAACGCTCTCGAGGAGGGCAAGCTGCTGCTGGCCCAGAAGTTCGTGCGCGACAAGCAGTACGAGCAGGCGATCGACGCGCTGCAGGCGCTCAAATGCCCGGACGCGTCGTTCCAGCAGGCGCAGATCTACAAGCTGTTCGCGGACGAGATCGTCAACTCTATGCCGCGCGAGAGCCTCACCTCGGAGATGCGCTCCCAGCACATCATAATGCTCTCGAAAGCGAGGAACTGCTACTACCTCACTCTCGACCGGCTGCGCAGCCCCGGCATGAACCCGAAGCACCCGTTGAACTCGGAACTGGGCACTCACATCGCCGACATCGAGAACGAGCTGAAGAGGATCGACCCGGACCTGGGCAGGAGCGACTTGAGTAGGAACGACTGCGACGGTATGTCCGACGAGAGTTACTCGCCCGCTCACAGCGCCGTAGATCAGACGGTCGCCAATACGACCCTGCCGAACCTGACCGGACACAACATCCTGAGCACGCCCCAGAGGAACACCCAACGCGCGCCCAAGCAGAGCAGCACGCCCTGCCGGCCGCTCCACCACGATATCTTGGATCTGTCGCGTAATCGCACCGAGGCGCGCCCGAGCCCGGAGCGCCTCGACGCGCAGATACGTCAGATCATGCACTCGAGGGACAACGTGGTGCAGGAATTGGTCGAGCAGATGAAGGGCATGACCGATCACATGAAGACGCTGACGGAGAAGATGGAGGGCCTGATGAAAGAGATGGTGGAGTTGCGCAAAGACAATCAGAAACAATACCAGCAGCAGCAGCAGCACCAACGTGTACAGCAGCAGGTGAACATGAACGCCAATGTCGAGGACGACTTCTACGTCCTCGACAACGACGAGTACGCCGACTTGAACTACGCGAATCAGTCCGGCCAAGCGGCGTCCGCGATCTCCGGCAACATGTTCACGCCGCCGCACCGCCATCCCTATTCATCCCTAATGTACCCCTCCGCGACCACGTTCCAAGGTTACTACCAGGGCGGGCTGCCCGGGTTCAGCGACCCGAACGCCCAGGCGATACAGTCCCTGTACCCGCACATGTACTCGATGCCGATATATCCGAACCGGTCGGCGAAGGTGCCGGATAATCTGCTCCAACAGGGCTACTTCGCGTCCCGACTGTCCGATATCATGTCGATACCGGCGACGAATCCGCCGCCTACGCTGCAGATGCCATTGCAGAAGGTTGTCGAGCCGCCGCCGGTGAAGCCTCCCAGCGAGCCGAGCACGGCGACGACCGTCATCAAGGACGCGCCGGTTAACAAGGCGCCGCCCGTCAACGTGGTGATCACGACGTCCGACACGCTGCCGACCACGGTGCCGCTCGTGCAGCCGACCTTGAGCGTCACCATACCGCCGCAGTATCGACTGGGTGGCATCGTCAGCACGACGATCACGACGACGACGGAGTCGTCGTCCTCCTCCAACGCGCCTCACTGCTACCAGATCTCCATGCCGTCTCAGGCCACTATACCGACCACCGTCAATCTGCCGCCCCTGCTGCCCACGCTCACCACCACGCCGGCTGGTATGCAGACCATGCAGACCGCGGACTCGCACCGCAGCGGATTGGCCGACAAGAGCGGGATCTACGAGCCGGTCGAGTCGCCGAACACCTCGACGGAAGTGGAGCACGACCCGATACCCGACTTCGTGCCGGTCATACCGCTGCCGGCTGAGGTGAAGGTGACCACTGGCGAGGAGGACGAGGCCACGCTGTACTGCGGCCGCGCCAAACTCTTCCGCTTCGTCGACAAGGAGTGGAAGGAGCGCGGGGTCGGCTACGTGAAGCTGCTGCGGAACATCGAGGGCAAGGTGCGCCTGCTGATGCGCCGCGACCAGGTGCTGAAGATCTGCGCGAACCACATGCTGCGCCCGGACATGGAGCTGACCGGCATGGCGAACAACAACAAGGCCTGGTGCTGGGTGGCGAACGATTTCGCCGACGAGGAGGTGAAGCTGGAGAAGCTCTGCATCAAGTTCAAGACCGCGGAGGAAGCGTTGGCGTTCAAGGAAGCCTTCGACAAGGCCAGGCTCGGCCTGGCCGCGGCGAGCCTCCCCGTGTCTTCCGGCGAGAAGGACGCGCAGAAGCCGCAGGCTAAGATCAGTCTGACCGCCGAAGCCGCTCCGGACAAGCCGAAGAGTGGCACGACCACTCTGGGAGGATTCTCCTTCACCTCGAAGCCCATCATCCAGGAGGTCGGCGACACGACGGGCGAGTCGAAGAAGCCCGATGAGGCGCCGAAGGTCAGCCCGTTCACCGGGTTCTACTTCACCAAGCCCACGACCACCGGCGCCGTTACCAGCGCCTCGACACCCTCCACCGGCTTCGTGTTCGCCACGACCGCGACTCCGGTCACGACCACGCCGTCCGACGTGACAGGCTCGGGCGCTGCGCCCGGCGCGTCGCCGATATTCACCGTCCACTCGGCCAACTTTGACCAGAACCCCAGCCTCAACACGCTGCTAAGGAGACCCCGCATGCCGGCGCCCGGTGTCGCGAAGGTGGGCTCCCACCACGAGAGGGAAGTACGGCCGCAGGCCGAGAGCGAGCAGAAGCTGTTCGACGGCCAGGCGAGCCTCCAGTGTCAGAACAGCGACACCAAGCAGTGGGAGAACAAGGGCACCGGCTCGATGAAGTTACTATTGGACGTGAAGTCCGGCAAGCTTCGCTTGCTGATGACGGACGAGAGTAACTCCAGGGTGATCTACGGCTACGGTATCCCGCGGGACACGTCCTTCACCTTCAAGACCGGCGCCACCGTCGTCAACTGGACCGCCCCGACGGACACGAAGAAGGAGCGCGCCAAGATCCTGCTGTTCCACGCTGCGACCTTCAGCTCGACGGAGTTGGCCGCGCAGTTCTACGACCTCGTGTCCGGCTGCCAGCAGAAGCTGCAGAAGGGCTGCGGTCCGAGCGAGGTGGCGAAAGAAATCGAGAAGAAGACGTCGAGCGAGGGCCAAAACCATTCCGCGGACAAGTCGCAGCTCCCGTTGTCGGAGCTGTTCAAGCCTCCGAGCGGCTCTTGGGAGTGCAACGGCTGTTACACCCGGAACAACGCCAGCAGCGTCAAGTGCGCGGCCTGCGAAGCCCCGTCGCCCTCGGCCGCGGGCAATAAGACTTCCGGCTTCAGCGCGGCTGCGAACAGTCAGCCCGCCAAACCGCCTTTATCCGAGTTATTCAAGCCGCCGGCGGGCTCTTGGAGCTGCCCAGGCTGTTACATTGTCAATTCCGGCGCGAACATCTACTGCGTCGCCTGCGACCAGCCCAAGGACCCGTCGCAGCCGCCCAAGCCGCAGCAGAACGTCTTCCGGCTGGGCGGTTCTGTCGCGACCACCGCCGCCCCGATGACCACGTTCACCTTCGGCATACCGAAAGACGCCGCCAAGGAGACGACCGGCCCCACCACCACCACTATGATCACCACCACCACCACCACCACCGGCTTCACCTTCCGTATGCCGAAGCCGGAGGACAAAGATGCGAACGAGAGCGTGAAGATCATCCCGGCGAGCCCGCCGCAAGCCAAAGCCGAGGAGACGGCCGGCAGCTTCGTGTTCGGCGGAGTACCGGCGATAGCCGGCACCACCCTGAACTCGACCCCCGACTCTTCACCGTTCACCTTCGGCACGCCCACCAAGTCCTACGGCTTCAACTTCACGGCGCGAGCATCCTCGAAGTCGCCCGGCAGCGCCGGCGGCGAGAACAGCGAGGACGAGGTGGTGGAGAGCGACGACATCCACTTCTCACCGATCATCCCGTTGCCGGATAAGATCGAGGTGAAGACCGGCGAGGAGAACGAGGCGGTGATTTACAGCCACCGGGCGAAGCTCTTCAGGTTCGACAGCAGCGTGAAGGAGTGGAAGGAGCGCGGACTGGGCGACATCAAATTGCTGCGGCACAAGGAGACCGGCAAGTTGCGGCTCATCATGCGGCGGGACCACGTGCTGAAGCTCTGCCTGAACCATCTGCTGTCCGCCGACCTGGAGTTCACGGCCAAGGACGAGAAGACCTGGTTGTGGAACGCCGCGGACTACAGCGAGGGTGAGATCGAGTACATGCAGTTCGCCTGTCGCTTCAAGACGTCCGAGATCGCGGAGGGTTTCAAGAGGGCGATCGACGACGCGAAGAAGGGCGCGAAGCCGGCCGCCGGCGGCGCTGAGAAGCTGGACAAGTCGATGACGAAGGCGGTCGGCTCGCCGACGCGAGAGATCGAGATTCTTTATGAGGCGAAGGTCACACCGGAGGAGAAGGCGGCCGCTCTGAAGCTCCAGCTGCCGGAGAACTTCTACGCCTACAAACTGAAGGAAGACTGCCCGGGCTGCAGAGGCTGCAGAAAGCCGAGCATAGTCCTGTTCCCGGACGCCGCTTCGACGCAGTCGGACAAGCGGAGGACGGCAGAGGAGAAGAAGCCGGCGAACACCGTTGTGGGCTTGAAAGCCGGCCCGGGCGTGATAATAACTTCTTCATCGTCCTCGTCGGCCGAGGCAAAGGGTAACGAGGCCGCCGGCCAAGCGACCATCCAGTCCACCGTAAAGAACGGCTTCTCCTTCGCCATGTCGTCCGCCGCGACGCTCAAGACGACGTCGACCCCGACGTTCGCCACGTCGAGCGTCTTCGACGGCTCCGCAATGAGCTTCGGTACTGCCGATTTGAAGCTGTTCAACGACAAGAGGTCCACCACCTTCTCGTTCGGTATGAACCCTCAGTTCGGCGCCAACGAGACCGCAGCGGAGAAGACAACGAGCGCGCCGGCGGACAAGCAAAACGTCCCGCTGCTGGAGAACATGAAGATCTGCGGCCCGACGAGCAGCACCCCGAGCACGCAGACCGGCACGTCTCCCGTCGTGACCACCGGCCAGACGATATTTAGCCAGAGCACGGGGACCACGACGGGATCCATCTTCAAGGCGCCCGTATTCACCTTTGACAGCGGCAAGAACATGTTCGGCGGCACCGACAAGTTCAGCAACGCGAAAACGCCCCTCTTCGGTACAGGCGGTGACGGCAACTCCTTGTCGTTCGCCAACACTTTCAACACTTTGAAGACGAGCACGGCCGCCAGCACGACCAGCTCCGTCCCGAAGACATCGGCCGGCGTCACCAGCACCTTCGCCACCACTGGCTCGTCGTTGTTTGGCTTGCCGCCCATGCAGCCGAGTTCCAAGGCCAGCGACGTCACAGTCGCCGCCACCACCATCACCACCACCACCACCGTCGCCGCCACCATCATGCCCGTCACCACGTCGGCGGTCGCATTCGCCATGTCTAATCAGCCGAACAACACGATATTCAGCGCCAGCTCGATCACGCCCTTCTCGAAGATGGCGTTCGGCAACAGTTCGACTCCTCTGTTCGATAGCGCCCCTACGGTGACGGCGACGCCGGCCGCGAATGTCTTCGAGGCGAAACCCTCGGACAGCGGCCAGAAGGAAGAGGACATCAACAGCTTCTTACCGTCGAACAACATGACGTTCACGGCACTAGCCGCCAACGTGGCGCAGACGCAAGCCTTCAAGAAAGGTGTGTCGCGAGATTCTAATATTAACTTTATCTCTTGATTAACTTAGCTTGGGTTTGGATAACTTTTAACTTGATTAAAGGTAAAAATGAACTTATATCCAACCCTGAAAATAATGGTGTGTACACTCCCAGTGGAGAGAACAAATTCCACTCTGACTGGAAGACTATCGGGTTGTGTTATTCGCTGTTAAAGGGCAATATTGATTTATTTTATCTTAAGTTCGTCCTATCTCATATCGAATCTAATCTCATCTGTTCACCTGCAATTATTTTCGCCTCATCATTGTACACCAAGAGGTTTCCCCGTAAATAAAGATTACTATTGTTATTATTACCAGATATGCCGCTTACACTTACTCGACGCTTACTTTTCAGATCCGAACTTCTCGTTCGCTGGCGCGGGATCGTCGGTGTTCGGCTCGAAGTCCGCCGAATCGCTGAGTAGCCCGAGATCGGCTCAAGACAGCTCGAGATCGACGCGCGAGGATTCCATGCGTAAAGACGACAACGAGGAGGACGAAGGCGGCGAAGACAATGAGCAGGAGCACGATCCTTACTTCGAGCCCATCGTCCCGTTGCCGGACACCATCGAAGTGAAGACCGGCGAAGAAGACGAGGAGAAAGGTACCCTTTGGATACCTTTGGTGGATATCCTTTTAGCAGCCTTTAGGGACCTTCAGATACATCATTCCTTTCTTCACTTGTCACTTTAGACAGGCACTTGTTAACTTTGCGCGGACAGAAGAATTCACTGTCGATGATGCATTTAACGAGAATGAACGTGTTGTTATTCGGATGTGAATTGATCCCACCGAATCATGCAACTCGCGGTGACAAAGGCGCGCGCAGAACTCGTGGCTCACGTCAGCGTAATCGCTCGCGTTCTTCGCAGTGTTCTGCCAAAGGGCCAAGCTGTACAGATACGACAGCGCGACGAAGGAATGGAAGGAGAGAGGCATCGGCGAGATGAAGGTCCTGCACCACCCCGGATACGGCAGCTATCGTCTGCTGATGCGCCGGGAACAGGTGTATAAGATCGTGTGCAACTTCTTGATCACGCCGGACGTGACGTTCCGGCCGCTCTCGTTGTCGCAGCAGGCCTGGATGTGGGCTGGGATGAACCACGCCCAGGAGGAATCGTCCATCGAGCAGTTGGCGGTGAAATTCAAGTCGCCCGAATTGGCCAAGCAGTTCAAGGAACTCATCGATAAGATCCAGCAGGAGTTGCGCGAGAAGGAGGAGGCGCAAGGTGAGGTTTCCGCCCGCTGAGTATCACGCGGATGTTGTGCGATTATTTTATCTCGCTACGTGTATCTCATGTGGTCGCAATAAAACGTGTTGCTTACAGGTGACAGGTGTGTCAATGAGGAGGTGGGAGATGATGAACCCGACCGGGATGTGGACGAGGAGGAGGAAGAGGAGGACGATGAGGAGGAAGACGAAGACGATGAGGAAGAAGAGGACGAGGACGATCAGGAGATGGTGCTTATAATAGAGAAACGCGCCACCGTGTTCGCCAGGTGGCCCAATGAGACCAAGTGGGAGATTGTAGGCCTAGGAAACTTGGCAATCCATTATGATTCCGAGATCTACGCGGAGAGGATCGTGCTCAAGCTCGACGACTCGCAAGAGTACGCGAGCAACACCATCATCAGTATGGAAACAGTGATGCAGGTAATTATTTAAACGCAATTATTTGCATGTAAGAGATGCTCTCGTAAGTTATAAATTCGAATAAATTTATATATATTTATATATATTTATATATATATTTTTTTTTCTTTCTAATTTTAATGTAAGCTCTCTTGTATTCTCGTAAATTCTAAGTTAATGTTTTATTAATCGAGAACGTGTAACAATGCTAAAATTGCACATTTATATTGTAATCTTATATATTAATGTAGAATGATGTACATCTAATATTGTGTTACTCGTATGTCTGTTGCACAGGTGGAGGGCAAGGAATGTATCTGGAGTGGAATCGATTATGCCCTAGTCCCGCCGGTAAGGAGAGTACTGAGAGCGGTCTTATCATCGATGCAAGCCGCGCAAGAGATGCAGAAGTTTTTCGAGGAGGTAAATAAAAGCCAGCCGAGACATTCGCGCGTGTATATACTCACACAAATACACTAACATATGTTAATGTGAAAAATATCAATGTAATTCATAATGGTATGCTTTTCTTTACAGGGATTGGTGAGCGCGAAACAAGCGGGTGTCGTCGAATATCACGAGTGATGCTTAGAGTAATGCTTAAGAATTGACTGTTACTACACCATTCATTAGCGTCCTATTTTAATTATAAATGTAAACGGATTGTTCTTTTGGCCGCTTCACTCGAATGTAAGGAGAGACTGTACTCATTGTTAGATCTTTATTGTCTTATGTATACATAGTTTTTTTTTATTTTTAAGTGGATTTATAAGATGCGAGTTAGAAGAGTGAGTACAACAGAATTGTCTTTATATTCGCGTATAGACAAGCACGAATTTCCGTAGTGGATAATTTATTTGTGCTGTGTAAGACGAAGCGTTAACTATTTATAACAATAGGACGGTAAAAGAATAATAGAAAATCAAACGCCACGACTTTTACTTCATTCATTCTTTATATAAGTATACGTCTTTGGAAAAGGGAGGTCTTTGGAGAAGAAAAGAAACTAACATGTGCCAACTGTGGAAACGCTTTCTACTTCGCATTGAAAACATTATCTCGTAACTGTAATTGATAACTGTTAAAGTAGTCGATAATTATCTCAGAATTATATTTTCAAATGGACATATTGATGCATTATCATCTGTGAGAAACACGTGTTATATATATAGACATATATGTTTGCAATGTGACTCTTGATATATTAGCACAAATACATATTGATGACTTTTTCCACATTGTAATTTCAGTGTAATCTTAAGCTTCACAAGACGTCGGTCGGGATTATAAAGTTCTGAAATTACTGCAGCAAATAATAATTATTGTAAATATTAAGTGATGCGATCTTATTTATGGTTAAAGCAAGTATCAAATTGTTACACCGAAATAGAGAAATAGAAATATTCGAATACGAAGAAAGCATAGTCACTAAATAATAAATAATAAATTGACATCGTGCGTAACGTTAATAATTCATTAGCAAATTTTCAATTACGTAAATTTTTTCTAAGAGAAAGGTAAGTGGTGTCACCAGGGGATTAGTTTATCGTTCAAAATACACTTATTCGTTTGTATTCAAAAACGATATACAGTTATTGGAACATTAGTGACTTAATTACACTGCGTGTTTTATATGTAATCTGATTATTCAACTCTGTTACGATAAATATTTAAAGTAAGATAAACTTGTGTGCTTAGATTTAAAGTGATGAAAATGCTAAGAATTGCGGCAATTCCAACCTACGCCCAACACGGTGTATTGTAAAATATATATGATATATCCGAAAATATTAATGATCTCAAGATTACCTAGACCTTGTAAAATTATCGAATATAATAGACGTGAGTAATAAGACGTGAAATATTGCTCATTGAACCATCGCGAAATTTCTCATATTATTATCTTGGTTGCGTTCGAGGAGCGCATTTATCAGCGTTATCAGCGCTGTTGCGTTATCCTACTTTTATCAGACTTAAAACAAGTGACGTGTTCTTTGCAGTTGCACTGCTGAACAGGTGCGATAAATTACTTATTTCGCTTCTGTTTTCCTGGAAAAAAAGATCATATATGAAATTTACTCATATATTACATATATATATAATCATGTATGTCCACAGCGAAAAAATATTGTTTACAAATTATATGCAAATATAACCGAAATAAATACTTGTGGCTACTTGTGCTTCTCTGATAGCACATAATATCGACATTTAATTAAATTTATTTAATTAAATTTAATTGACATCTTTCTCGTATGGACATATACGACCATATATGTAACGTACACATATACAGACAAAATTCATGTACGATTTTATATAATTATATATAAGAATTTTTTCCGGGTTAGTAGTGCAACTGTAAAAATAGACCAAAGAATAGAATGATATAATAGGACTGATAGAATGATCCCCTTACATAATATACACTTAAATATTTACATTGGCTTTAATGTGCGATAAAAGGCACGATAACATGTACAGAAAGGTAAAAAAGTTTTGTGCCCCTCCATGGGCACGAAATTGTTTTGCCCTCCATGGGCTTCCATGCCCCTCCTTAACATCCTCCGTAATAAGTAATGGCGACGTCAGTGCGCTTCAGTTGATACGAAGCTGACTTTGATCCTAGTCGAATGATCGCATCGTCAGTTTGCAGTCGATTGTTGAGCAAAGTATCCGAACGTGATTCGTCACGATGTCTGCCCTAACGAAAGGTAAACTGTGCAAATCGCACAAAATTCTATTTTCTTCGTATCTACTCGATTGAAAACTTTTATTTTCCAACGTGGATCGTACAATATTCTCGAATTTCACTTACGATCGTTATTCATAAAGGAATCATGAGCATTTATAGAAGCAATTGCACCGTTATTTTTAGATGAACTTGTGTCTGTACTTTCTTTTTGCGTTGAAGAAAAAGCAAGTGTATATTTAAGCGTGACATTTAATATATTTAAATGTATATTTAAATATATATTTAATGTGACCTTTCGAGGGAAAAGAGTAAAAAGTTCAATTGAAAGATGATTAATATGGGTTGATGCTAAATTGTTATAAAGAATGTATGTGTGAAACGATGCGGAAGTGTAAGTCATACCATTAAGAGATTAAAGCGTGTTTATCACTTTTCGTTTCTGTACACTCTCTTTATATTGAATGAATCGCGAGCGTATTGCAATTTTGACGAAATAATGGAAGAAAGGAAAGATGCAAAAAGTGCAGAACGTAATAAATAAGAGTTGCGCATAAATTAATATTAAGTAAAACCAGCGACACACGGTGCTCGTTTTCGTGCTGGATTGCTTACTGGATGGAAATACTGCGTTTTGATTGGTATATTGCCATCCATTTTTGGAAATACACCAATCAAAACGCAATATTTCTATCCAACACGGAAACAAACATCGTATGCTGTTGGCTTAAGACCGACACACAATTGATGCTGACACAAAGCAACTCATCTTGCTATCAAGCTATTAAATTAACATTAGCAAGTCCAAGTCCAAAGTCCAAGATCTAAACATAAGACATCTTGCGTGCCAACGTCTTAAAAACGTCCTTGAGTTATTTTTAAGATATTTTATATTTTGATTTTAGACATTGTGCTACGTGGAACGTTACGTTCGTAAAAAATATTTTATGTTATTCTTATGTTGTATCTTTCCAACTATCAAAAATTTAAATACCAAAAATGCGCCGTCTTTCATATTTAAAATACAAAATACGAAGGATATCGAAGAAAAAGTTAATTATGGAAATAACTAATATATGTCTTATACATATCTTTTGCTGTGAGTGGTGAATTTCAAGTTTCTTTTTCACTTTGCTGGCCCATTAGCGTGTATTTCCAACTGAGCAAATGTTGAATATGTAAATATGTTAATAAAAATTCGAATTCAAACATCTTTTATGCCTTTTCAAATGACGTATCAAATGATGTATTGTTTATCATGGGTTTTCTCCGATTCCTATTAAAACGTAACATACCAGTACATAAAATGTAAAGCTCCAGTGTGAAACAACATGATTAGAAATTAAGGTACAAAGGAAAAGAGAGAAAGTTAATTTGATAGTTTGATTTTTAACAACACACAGCTTGTCTAATTGAAATTCCTACCTTTCAGGTATTTACATTATCGCCGCAAAGCGTACTCCGTTTGGTACAATGGGAGGCATATTTGTAAACACAACAGCTACAGATTTGTCAGTAGTTGCATCAAATGCTGCGATCCAAGCAGCAGGAATACGCCCAGAGAAGATTGACAGTGTTGTATTTGGAAATATCATGGCAGTAAGCGTCACACATACAATCGATAATTATAATTCATCAAATTTCAAGTAACACAATAACATTATATCACTGTTGCAAAATTTTCTATTTAACTATATTGGTAATAATGTTACACATAACCTGTATATATTTTATTCCACTGACACTGTTGAATATGAAATTATAACATTGATTTATTGTTACTGTTATTTGATGCTTACCAGATGAGTACCTTTAAAATTCCTACAAGTACATATATGATATACCTTTCTCTAATTTCTCTTTCACAGAACTCATCCTCTGATGGAAGTTTTTTAGCAAGGCATGTTTTATTGAAATCAGGAATCCCAATTGAAAGGCCAGCGTATAGTGTGAACAGGTTGTGTGGTTCTGGCTTTCAATCAATTGTCAATGGAGCTCAGGTTGGTTAAAGAGTCTGTAAAGAAATCAGTGTTATCTGATCCATAAAAAAGTAGAATATAAGCAAAATATTATGCATTGTAATTGGCTCAATCTACATATAATTCGTCAAATTTTGTACGTATCACAAATTTTGTACAACAAAAATTTATAGATAATTCTGAAAAATATGTAGAATGCACAATATGCAGCTACAAAAATGCCAACATATATATTCTTTGTTAGAGTATTTTAACGGGAGATTCAAAGATCGTCTTAACGGGTGGTGCCGAGAACATGAGCCAAGCTCCTTTTATTGTGAGAGGCGTTCGTTATGGGACTATTTTGGGACAGAAGCATGACTTTGAAGATTCACTCTGGGTCGGATTATTCGACAGTTACTGCAATCTACCTATGGGTTTAACTGCGGAGAAACTCGGTGCCAAGTACAACTTGAAGAGGGAAGAAGTTGACCAGTTCGCTTTGAGCAGTCAACAACGCTGGAAAGCCGGTAAATATACAATTTATAATATATAAAAAAATACATAAAAAAGGTGTCATCTGGATATTTAATTAAGTTGACATTTCTCATCAATTAGATCACCTATTTTCCTTCCAACTAAATATTTGATTTGAAACAACAGCTCTCATCTGTTTTTCAGGGCCTGTTAAAAAAGTACATATGTTACAGCCTACGACGAGGGCCGCTTCAAGGAAGAAATAGCGCCCGTGCAAGTGAAATCTAAGAAGAAAGATGTAACTGTCACAATGGACGAGCATCCACGCCCGCAAACGACAATGGAGACTCTCACTAAACTTAAGCCGGTTTTCCAAAAAGATGGGTTGGTCACAGCTGGCTCTGCATCGGTATGTCTTCTTTCAATTTGCAGACGTAAAATAACTAGTTTATGTGAATCTATTTTATCAATTTGTTCAAACTTTCGATCGGAGAAGTAGATTGTGCAATGATATCATACAAATCTTAAATAGTTCAATTTATTCGTCTAAAGAAATTGCTATAAATTCTATCATGTATATAGTTTTACACACATTAATTAACTTTATTCTCTCGCAGGGTATCTGTGACGGAGCGGGCGCTGTCATTTTAGCCAGCGAAGAAGCCGTTAAGGCTGAAGGATTAAAACCACTGGCACGTTTACTGGGATACTCCATTGTCGGCGTGGACCCAAGTATTATGGGAATTGGACCCGCACCGGCGATCAAGAACTTGCTCGGAATAACAGGCAAAACTCTAGACGACGTGGAACTGATTGAGGTAAGATTTCTAACTTGCATCTGTAGAGGAAATATTGTGCCTTGCAAAACTTTTAAGACGGAAATGCGTAAAAAATGGGTAATTCGGAAAACTGGAATTTTTATTTTCTTCTTTCGCACACACGAACATGCATATTACCTCACTTCCGGTAGATCAACGAAGCGTTCGGAGCTCAAACTCTGGCATGCGCGAAGGAACTTAATCTGGATCTGAAAAAATTGAACGTGGACGGCGGAGCTATCGCTCTCGGACATCCGTTAGCCGCTTCCGGAAGTAGAATCACTACTCACTTGGTGCACGAACTTCGGTATGTCTCTCGTAATGCAACAACAATGTGAACGAGTACATAATCTTATCTCCATATCAATACACTTATCTATATCTCGGCTTTTTCTTAAAGGAGACGAAAGGCTGGAAAACTAGGTATTGGCTCGGCTTGCATCGGCGGCGGCCAAGGCATTGCCTTGATGTTGGAGGTGCTATAATTAAGACTTCCAAATAGAATCAAGTGGCAATGTTTGTTATACCAATCAGAATCAATGCGGTGTTTCACGGCATTCGTTCTGCTTATATATAAAATTTTTATTGATTGTTAAAGTAATCTTATCACAGTGACCGATGTTATAAGTGCTATTTACAATGTCGATATCATTTTTGTAATTTTGTAATTTGTTCTCGTTTCACTGTGGGATAAAGTTATACAAGAATGATCAAAATATTTTTTATATATATGAGAGCTACAAATATTTTCACATAAATTTGCATGTTTTTGTTACATATAGCGTTTTAGTACCGAATAAAGTCAAACCATTTGATAATCATGTCTAGGCTCTTTGTTCTTAGGAGTATAAAGGGAACTATATGATCCGTGTAAGGATAGCTAAAGAGATCTGCTGTTAACGGACGGGTTTATTTAGGCGGCTGAACTTTGCAGCACCGTAAAGATCGAGTAGGACGTCCGTAGTATCTGAAACACACGGAAGTTATTAGCTTCGTCGCGCAGGTATTTCGATGTCTCTTCTGAACGTGCGTTCTGAATTATCCATGGTCTGAAGATCGTCAGCTTGATCTTGAGATTTGGATAAGAGATATCGACGATAATATCGAGCGATGGAACGGTAAAAATAGCAGCTGTTGTGCAGCCGCGATTTTTCCGACGAACCTGCACGAAAGTGTCCAATGATAACAACATAATGTTGCCGGCGGTCAGAATGAACGGACGATGAGCCCTCGTCATTATAATCAGCAATCCACGCTTGAATCTTCCCGTCTCCGAGAACCATTTGCTCGAATACGCTGCCGTAGCTATGCGTAAGCTCTGAAAATTGCGCGTATTTATATAGGAAGATTAATTTAATACATGCGGTGCGGCGTCACGCGTATGCGCTCGATTTTCATAACAGACGTCACACGCATTTGTCTCGTCGATTGACCTTCTCGATACGTGTTTTCTTCGTAGTATACACAAACGTATAATGGCTTTATTAATTATATTATTACCTTATCGTAGTCTTGCAATAATTAAAGTAGTTTTTATCAAACGTGTTGCGAAAAATACTACCTCAGAAATATATGCTTGTTTCAATTTATGATACTGAATGGAAAATACTATTAATAAGGCTGTTACGACGGTCTCTCTCTCTCTCTCTCTCTCTCTATATATATATATAATAGAAAAAAAACATATTCCTTCTGCATAATCAAGATATAAACTAAATAACATAATGTCTGAACATAAGACATCTGGTAATAAGACGTCTTGTGTCTCGATTTTATACATTATGCTGTCTGGAAACGTATAGTTTTCCGAATCTAACGCAAGATATATTGTCTTTTGGAGATATTGTACTCACATGGAGATGCAGTTCATTACCGTGCCAACAGAAGATAAATATCTGATATGTCATGCAGCACATGTACGTCAGCATGCCGATCAGCACCGCGGGGATGTACTCCTTCATCTGCGGCACAAGATGCCGGTTACATTCTGAAATGAGCAAGCGTAATCGAGACGAATCGGGCGACTCTTCACCTGCGATACGTTAAAGGCGATCAGACAAATGATCACGCAGTTTGAGAGAAACTGGAGGAAGATCACGGTGCCGAAGATGTCCTGGATTTCCCTCACGAAACTGCGAATCCGCGAAATTAATAATCGCTAGAGGGTCAGACCGGGCGTCGATTCGACTCTTGTTTATTAATAAATCAGCCTATTAATGTCTTACAGCGAATTCGATCGTCCACACTACAGCGGATTAGTGCGCACATTAAAAGCTGTTACGCATAAAGTATCCAAACATAATAACGTAACGTATGTAAAAATGTAATTATTCGTATATATTAAAGGCCCTCTATACATAAAATATACAAATACAATGACATGTGTATAACATAAAAATGTAATTGGAGAGGGCTCCTATTTTTATGAAAAATATACAAGAAAAAGAGATGTTAGAACCTAATTGCAGATATAGGTCGCATGTATTTGAATCAAATACTGTTAACAATATAACGTTGTATAAATCATTAGGAATTACATCTTTGAAAACGTTACATGTTATAAAAATTTTATAATAATATTTAATATTTATTAATGTTATAAATTTAATAATATATTAACATTATAATAATATATGAATAACAATTTATAATATGTGAAATATAAAATAACGCTTTGTTAATGATTGTTTGTTTACTGAGCTGCTTTATGTATAGCAACCTTCAGCTTGCACCAGACCGGCGTGATCAAATTCGCTATTAAATTTCCTTCGAGATATCTTAACTTACTAAAATATCATATCGCCATGCACAATGCTCCACTTGAGTCGCTGATAAGGCGGACACGTTTCTTGTGTAACCTCGCCCTTGAAATTATTCATGCCGCTCTTCTCGTCATCTATTGCGCTGATATTTCGCTCTAAAATTGCCAGTTGGCAGCAAGCGACCGTGATCAGGCCGGTGATCAGCGTGTCCATCGCTACGTTGTGGAAGCACGCGATTATGATCGCGACGCCCTGATGACCGGCGGTGATCTCGAAAGCCGGCGTTCCCGTCACGTTGTACGGGTACCAGCCCTCCATCGGCAGCCGGCGCGAGCGGCCGGCGATCAGGTCGGCGATGGGAGTGAAGCCCCAGCAGAACACCGCCGTCGCGCCGAAACTTTGATAGGCCGCATGGTGGAAGAGACCCTTCCACGTATAGCTCGTCAGGAGGTCCTGGTGCGCCTCGTCTTGCCGATGGAAGGCGTGACTGTTCGCCTTGTCGAGGAGCGCCTGGATCCGTGCTTGGTGACGGAGAAGCACGATCACCTGAGTGTGTGGAGGAATTCCATGGGAAATCAATCGCATGTGAAAAATGTTTATTGTCGTTTGTTTGTGGAACTTTGTGAATTGTAAAAACAATGCGAAGTAAGAAAAAAAACTAAGTGTGCGATGGCCGGGAATCGAACCCGGATCAACTGCTTGGAAGGCAACTATGCTAACCATTACACCACCATCGCACGTTGAGACCTCTCACTTATTTTGTAGTTCATACAGTGCGATACAGCGCACGGAAAATTGCACATGGTCTTATTTCATACGAAGAAACTGGTTTTTGATTGCCAGTGAACCAGGGATGCATCTAGTAGAAAGTTTGCTGTTATATCAACGTGCGATGGTGGTGTAATGGTTAGCATAATTGTCTTCCAAGCAGTTGATCCGGGTTCGATTCCCGGCCATCGCACA